CCAATATACATATATTGTATACATATATGTATTACATTCATTATTTGTGAATATATATATATATATATATATATATATATATATATATATATATATATATATATATATATATATATATATATATATATATATATATATATATATATATATATATATATATGTATATATGCTGTTCAGAATTATGAATGTAATACATATATGTAGGCCTATACAGCAATATATATATATATATATATATATATATATATATATATATATATATATATATATATATATATATATATATACATATATATATATACGTTTAATGTGTGTGTGTGTGTTCATTTATTTTTTGCATGTGCTTATTTATGTACGGATTTATGTATAAACAAATTAATACATTTCACTGCATGACATAATTTTTCTTTAAAATTCTTTAAAAAAAAAACCCAAGCGACATCGACAATAAAAAAACTACAACCGTCTGTACTTCCCCTGACAGTGACGACCGGCCCCCACCGTTATTTATTTGTTGGTTTAGCAGACGTAGATGTCGCGTTCTGGCTCCACGCGCCGCGAGGGTTTACTGACATGAACAAAATGAGCTTCAACAAATTTTCGGCCCGTCTGCCGCCACGGGAACAAGATATTCCACCCCCCCCCCCACCCCCACCCCTACTCGAGTCCTCCTCCCACCCCATTCCTAGACGAAATATTTTCCTACAGTAGTTTTGTTTCGTTTTAACATTGGTGGGGGTCTTTAATTAGCTTGTTTGCTTTTGGGTTTTTTATGCAATAGCATATATATATATATATATATATATATATATATATATATATATATATATATATATATATATATATATATATATATATATATATATATATATATATATATATATATATATATATATATATATATATGCAACTCTGTAGAAGAAATTCCCAATCCCTTACAAATCAGATATATTTCAATTGTTTGTCTGACAAAACTAACTTGTTTGTTATATGATAGATTGACCTGTAAGGGTCAAGCAGAAACGATGTCCAGACGCTATCATGGCTTCAGAATCCTTTCCCATAATAAAAATAAAGAATAAAAAAAAAAACTAGAAAACAATTTCTTTTTTTTTAATTAGCAAAAATGAAAATCCGAATTTATATTCGTCTGTTGTTCGCAAAACTGGCACTTTTCAAAAGCACGCACGGAAGAGCAGATTGCATTTTTATGTCCCCTCCCCCCCCCCCCCCCCCTCTCGCACGGCGATTAAAATACTCACACGCATCTACACAGTCCTGCAATTACTTCCCCCACACGACTTCCGCTTGCGCGGCGTCGACAGTTATTAAATTATTTCTGTGAGAGTTCTCTCTACCCCCCCTCCCACCCTCCCACACATATCCCCCCTCCTGCACCCATTGAGCCAGTTTTAACTGCATTAGCGGCGGCTTCCCACACCGCCATCTTGACGGGGTAGGTCGGGATGAGCACCCACTCAAGGCACACTTTAAAATGTTTCCAGTTCTCGCCTCACCCTCGTCCCCCCCCCCACCTACTTGATGGTTGGTATGTAGACCACCCGATGGGAAGATGCAGCGTGACGGCAGACGACGGGGATCGAATCCTACTGGGAACATGGACAGTTGTAACGGGATCGCGGGTCCACACAATTCCCCACTGGCCAAGAAATTATCGTTCCCTAATTTAACATTTTTGGCCATTTTCAATTACGTGACGAAGAACAGGCCGAAACATTAGACGGTGTTTAAAACACTTAGATATTCTTGTTAAAAAGCTATTTATTTTTTAAATTAAAATCTTGTTTATTTAATGAATCTAAAAGATTAGTTTTCTAATCTCAATAAAAAGCTACATTTATTTTACAAATCGCTACATTTTAAAATTAAATATTAATTCCAATCCAACTATTTTTTACATAATTAACCGTTATTTATGCTACACTATAATGTTCTTTTTTTTTAAAAACCAGGCCTTGTCATTAGAATGATTATAGGCCGATGGAAACGGTAGACGCCACGTAGAAATATTTCCGTCGAATGTTTGTCAACAGATTGATCTTCAACTTCTCTGTTGGTTCTCGTTCTTCTTTTCCTGCTCTCCCATCGACGGGAGCGTGTGTGCTTTGACCTCATTTCGTACCAGACGATAAGACACGCGCTGAACTGCACGTGGGTGATCACTCGATAAACAAAAAGAATCTTCTAGACGACGGTGAGTGGGGCAGACCTCGGTAGCATCAACCCGAGTCTAGGAACTCACGTCTTATTCTGATCCCCACCCCCAACTCCTGCATAGCCCGACCCTCGTCTCTTGCAGATCTCCACCCCAACTAATGCCTGGCCCGACCCACGTCTTATGCTGATCCCCACCCCCCCCCCCCCCCCAACTTCTGCATAACCCGACTCTCGTGTCTTGCAGATTCTTTGCCCCAACCCCTGCAAGTCCCCACCCCCAACTCCTGTAAGTCCCCCCCCCCAACTCATGTAAGGCCCCACC